GGGGGGGGGGGGGGGTCAGACAGCACTTTTCGGCTTTGTGGGCCAGACGTCCTGTTGCAGTTCCTCAAGTCTGCCGTGGTGGCACGCCACACATAAAGGGTGGGCCTGCCTGGGGGCTAGGAGACCTTTGTTTACTAAAACCAACACTGAGCTGTAAGTAGCTGCAAATGTCTCCTTTTGATTCTTTTTTAGAAAGCTCCTGCAGGTGAGAGTGAGGGGAGGAGAGGGCCTGCATGTGGTGGCTGTGTATCTGAGCCTAGGGTCTCCTGCAGGTTTTGGTGGCTGCTTTTCAACAGGAAGGGAAGGGCCCTCTTCCTCTAGTTGCTTTTATCATGAGAGGCTGTGAATTCTGGCTAATTCTCCTGCACGGAAGGAAAAGCTGGCCTCTTTTCTGCTGAGTAGGCCTGTGGGATTCCTTAGGATCTTTGCCTCTGGGTTAGGCGTGGGCAGGGCCCCCAGGGGCCACCCTGTCCAAGTGAGGGACAGTGGAGCAGACTCACCTTTTCCACACGGAGGATTAAGACGTGGCCACTACCCTCCTGAGGCTTTTCCGTTTAAATAAATTAAAACTAAATACATTTCAAATGTAGTTCTGGGGCTGGCCGGGGAGCTCAGTTAGAGCATGGAGCTCATAATACCAAGGTCCAGGGTTAGGGTCCCAGTACCGATTAGCAACCAAAATAACTATAAAATAAAATGCAGGTCTGCAGGCACAGTGGCCACATTTCCAGAGCTTGGTGGTCACATAGGGACCTCACAGATGGAGAACGTGCCCGTCATCTGAACAGTCTGGACAACCCTGAGCTGTGAGCTTATATGAAACGGTCATTTGACGTGGAATGTCTGCACAGCGGGGCTCAGGCTCCTCACTGGGCCCTTTGGCAAGTGAGGAAGCCCAGGAGACGCTGAAGGGGCCTCTGTCTCCCTCCGCAACCCCTTCCAGGGCTGCCACCGCCACAGAGCACAAACATAATAAAAACTTTATTGTAAGCAAAATAAATGTGCATGTCACAAAACTATATCATGACCCGTGAGAGACTTCACCGTGTACCTAAACTCCAGGTGTCTAAACCTGGTTTTCTGGAGAAGGGAGTGTCCTGAAGCTGGTGTCCCATAGCCCAGGAGGCTGCGCCAAAGTCCAGCCACCACCCCCACCTCCGCCGCTTCCAGAATGGCCTTTCACCCTGACACTGTGTCCACTCCAAGCAACATGAGGACCAGAAAGCAGGGCAGAGCTTGCCACCAAATGCTGAGTGGGGACAAAGTCACCCCATTCACAGCCCTGTGGACGCCAACAGGAAGGCCAGGGTGACTTCACAAGAGAGCAGAGTTCCTCCAGCTCAGCAGAGCTGGGTGTGGGAGCGCAGGCAGACCCCATAGCCTTGCCGTCCCACGCTCCTGGAAGCTTCCAGGAGGAGGCACCAGCGTTGCCCTCCCAGCTGGGTGGCATGGAGGAGGGATCCCCTGCAAACAGGAGCATCCAAGTCCAGGCTCTCTTGCAATGACCCCAGAACAGACAACACGCTGGTCTATGCCGCTGACCCCGGGACAGCCCAGGGGGACAAAAGCCAGCAGGAGAGAAGCCAGTAATGGTTCCCGATCACCGCCTCAGACAAATGCCGGCCGCCTCTCCCAGCGAGTGCCCACCGCGATCCTCCCGCCGCGGAGCCTCATGGTGGGCAGCCAGACCTGCGCCACGTTGTTGGACTGGTTGGTGTTATACGCCGAGAGCTGCTGGGCGGGGGCGGGGCCCTGGCCCTCCCCATCCTCATCCTCGTCCTCGTCCTCGTCCTCCCCAGCCATGGCCCCCAGGTGCTCCTCACTGCCACTGCAGCTGCGGGGACCCTCCTCCAGGCTGGCCTCGCTCTCCTGCTTCTCCAGGAACCTCAGGTGCTGCAGGGCGCTAGCCCCTGATGAAGACAGCAGGTCAGAGGCCTCCTCCAGCTCTGAGTCAGAATCATTGGAAGCAACTTGGGATTCTGGGAAAGACAGAGATAGAGAAACACAAGAGAGACGGACAGAGGTGTCCCGTGACCAGAAGGGAGACCCGGGGTCGGCCGCATTAGCCACTGTGAGTCCAACCCCACCTGACCCAAGCTCTGTCTCTTGGAAACCACGCACCCACGGTGAAGCACTTAGCCTGGCCTGGCGCCTGGCACCAACAGCCACCACACACGCAGGCGTCACGTCCACATTCAAGTTGCCCACTTCTCAACAGATTAAAGGAAAACAAATGGACAGTTGACAAATATGGTCTCCGTGGCAGACAAAATCCACAAGACATGCAGCTTCCGGGCCCCGCGAAGTGGCCACGCTGTTGTGTATGTACAGCCCTGGCTGGCGTGACCTGGTGGTGGTGGCCACCCGTGCTCACCTCGACCCTCGTCCTCCGCCTCCTCCTGCAGGGGGTAGGCAGCCCCCTCGCCTGCCTCCAGGTACGGCACCTGGACGACCACCTCTGCCCGCTGGTTGGACGACCCATCCTGCACGGCAGAAGAGAGGTCAGGGAGGGGCGGGGGCTCTGTTTTCTGTGTGGTAAATTACCAATTACACAAAACCAGAGAAATGATGAACACCCACTACTGCTGAGGTTGTGACTACACCAGCTCTCCCGAAGGTCAGCTCTTAACAGGAGCCACAACTGTTCCAACCCCGGAACCGCCCTGGGAATTCTCCTGAGAGCTCTTCCTGCGGGAGAACACTCTGGCCAAAGAGGCCAAGCCCCAGGTGGACACCAACGTTGGAGCTGCAGCAGCCACTGTCCTGAGTTGCACCCCAGGCTGCCAACCTTCAGGTCTGGCCTCCTGGGCTCCCACGTGGGCAGGAGGGGGAACCCAGGAACCTGCTGCCCCTAAACACAAGGGGTGACAGAGAGAGAGAGGAGATGGATAAAGAAACACAACAAGAACTTGAAAACAGGAGAAAGGAGCAAGATACTGTTAGGAAAGGAAACGAACACAACTTGAAGAAATGAAAGCGGGAGGCGGTGAAGTTAGAACCCAGCGGCTGGGTAAAGTGGCAGAGTGGGCCAGGCTGAGCCAGCGCAGATGGTGCTGCAAGCGCGGGGATGGGCACAGGAAAGGGGCAGGGGGTGGCTGCAAGGCCTTTGCAGGGACCGGGACTCTGCCCCAAACTCTACTTAAAAGACGAGTCACAGGCCTCCCCTAACTGCCCTGTCCAAACCCCAAGCATGTTCATCCCTGCCCCGAGTGCACAGCCCTGTGTGGGACCGACGCCCTCACCTGGCCCCCAGGTGCCTCGTCAGGATCCTCCTCAAAGACCAGGCCATAGTGGACGATGAGGGTCTCAATGACGCGGGCCTGGTGGGGGTAGTCCACTAGGGAGGAGAGGGACACGGTGGCCTCGGTGGGCCGCGGCCGCAGCAGCGTGGGCCCGAACACGATGCCCAGGTTCCCGGGGGTCATCTTGTTGTCCTGCTCCACCTCCACGATCCTGAGGGGTAGGGAGGGGGCAGCGTGGCGTGAATGGCCCGGGGACGTCCGCCACCCTCGCCCCACCCGCCGGCCCTCACCTGCGCAGGTGCCGCAGCAGGTACTGCAGCGTGGCTCGGTTCTCGGGCGGCAGGTCGCGCAGGAGCTCCCGCAGCCGGCCAGCCATGGCCGCGGCTGCCACCTCGCTCTCGGAGCCGTCCTGCCGGCCTCGGCTCAGCGCCTTGGCCTCAGCCTCTGCCTTCAGGCTGTCCTTGGCCAGCCCCACGAGCGCGTGGTACAGGCGGAAGGAGATGAGTGGCTCGGGCAGCTGCGGACATCAGAACGGGGAGGGTCAGTGGGCCTGGCTGCCACGGCCACGTGCCAGCCACGCCCACCCGGCTTGATTCAGACCCGCCCCCATTACAGCCTCAGCCCCTCCTGCCAAAGCGCTGGCCACGCCCCACCACGTTCAGACCCCCTGCAGTGTAGCGCCTGTTCCTGACCCAACCCAGCATCAGACCCGCTCCTGCCATGGCCACGCCCCAGCCTCAGCCCCACCCCTGCCGAGCACGGGCCACGCCCCCTCCTATACGGCCACGCCCAGTCAAGCTCCGCCCCCACCCAGAGCAGAGTGGTTCCCAAGGCCCCAGCCCAGCATTACACCTGCACCTGCTATTGCCACGCGCCTGGCCCAGCACCACCACTCTTGCCTACTGCTGGTCCCGCTCATCGCGTTCTGGCCACGCCCCACCCAGCATTGCACATGCCCGCGCCACCCCTCCCCCAGGCGCTAGCTCTGGGCTCGGCCCTTCTAACCTGGCGCAGGTAGAGCTTGAGGACATTGCTGATGTCGTGGGGCGGGGCCTGGGACAGCTCCACCAGCTCCTTGCCGTTCTCAAAGGCCTGGCACAGTTTCTCCACGCGCGTCTTCACCCCGTTGACCCGGTAGATGCCCTGCGGGGGCAGTGGTCAGCCTTGGCCAGGGCCCTCCAACCCTCCGGTACCTGCCCCATGACTGAAGCCCCTCCACATCCCCACCTTGGTGCGCAGTGCCCGTCGCTCGATCTCGCAGACGCACTTCTTGACGATGAAGGGTACCCCGTCGGGGGTGCCTTGGGCAGCCTGGCAGAAGTCCTGGCCAAAGAGCTGCAGACGGCCCTGCAGCTTCTTGTGGCCACACTGAATGGCCAGGGTCTCCAGACACTTCTTGTGGCAGGCCAGGCAGCACTGGGGGCGGGCACAGAGTGAGCCCCGGACCCCTCCCTGATGCCCAGGCTCCACTTCCAGCCCTCCTCACTGAAGCCCCTCGTAAGCCCTCCACAGCAGCTTCCAAAAACAGCCAGGCTGTGGCTCCCACTTGCTTTCGCCTCTCGTGGATGGCAGGTGCTGCTCAGGCCCACCACTCTGGCCTCCTCTCCTTCCAGCCCCCGTGTTTTCCTGCCCCAGCCCCAGGGCCTCTGCACTGGCTGTGCCCTCTGCCTGGGACTCTCTCCCTCTGATGCCCTTGGGGTGCTTTTCACCCTCCAGGTCTCCGTCCAGCCAGAGAGCCCTCCCCACCCCCTCTTCACTGCCAAACGCTCCAGTTTGCTCCCCACATTTGCTCCCCGCTCTGGGCTGGGACCTCTCTGAGCGTGCACAGGCCGGCAGGTGCGCAGCCGTCCCCCCTCACCTCCTCGCACTCGGCACCCTGGAAGTAGACGTAGCTGTTACACTCGCGACACTTGGCGGGCGTGCGGAGCTTCCGGAGCCGGTGGGTGCGCGCTGCCTTGGACAGCCCCACGTGGCGGAAGGGCCCACTGGGCATGGCAACCGGCAGCTCAGGGGCCATGCTGTTGAGGTCAGCTGGGGGCAGAACAGGCGGCCAGTGTCACTGAGACAGGTCGGGGCCAGGCCAATGAGACCGTGTCCAAACCCTCTACTCTCCCCACACCTGGGTCAGCGGACCCTCACCCTGCTCAAAGGCTGAAGCCTCCGTGCCAACCGCCTGGTCCACCAGCTCCTCGCTGGATGACATGGTGCCGCTCGACGATGTCCGCTCGAACTTCTTGAAGTCCCCTGAGCAGGAAACAGAGCTGTCAGACACTCCGAGCCAGGAGGGACCAGGCTGCAGGCCCAGCTGTACACTCCATCACTCCAGCGTGGAAGTGCCACTGAGACCTGGGAGGAGTGACAGCTCCCTGGCCCCAGCCAGCCGGGGAGGCCCCTTCACCTGAGCCAGCGCCAGGGTCCAGACCAATGTCGGAGTCTGCGATCGAGATTGGCCACGACTTGTGCACCTGGTGTCCTCGCCCACCTGCAGAAGGAGGCATCTCTGGTGAAGGGCTGAGGCAGGCTACAGGGAGCTAGCGCCCACCCCTGGCCGCCGTCAGGCACTCACCCCTGCGCTCCTTGGCAGGCGCCCCCTCATTGGGCCCCCCTTCCTTTGGGGGGCTGCCGGCGACATCTGCCCCCGCCGCATCGCCAACATTAAAGCTGCCCTTCCGGGCGCGCATGACCGGGGACCTGGTGGGAGGAAGAGCAAGGAGGTGGGGTGGTGATGGGGGTCACGGAGGCACCCTTACACCCCCCACCCCTTGCACAGCTGTGCATACGAGGCATTGGTGGAGATGTGCGGCTCAAAGTCGTAGTGCACGTCAGGTTCCTCCCCGCGCTGCAGCTGGCGCACGTGGGAGGCGTACTGCTGGCCTGGGTCATAGAGCTTGCTGCTCTCACACAGCATCTGGAAGTGCACAGGCAGTGGCGCTGTCTGCATGTGCATCATCTGATAGTAAGAGATGGTGGCCTGTGCGCGGGCGGGCACAGATGATGGCAGGGTCAGCAGGTCGCAGGGGCTGCTGCCCCGCCCCCGTAGCTGCAGTCCCGGCACGCACCGACTTGATGGTCTGGTCACTCTGCCGGATGACCTCCTGGATCTGCCGCAGCGCTGTCACCTTGGTGTCCTCCAGCTCCTGCTTCTGCGTCTTGGCATCCGCCACACATGTGCGATATGTGGCCATGGCTTCCTCTGCCTTGGGGGGTGGGGGGGACACAAGGAGGCCTCAGCCCTCAGGGCATTGCCAGGCCTCACACAGAAACCTCAGGGGTAAGCCAGGCAGGAAATGGCGGGAGGGACATTCCTGGCAGGAGGCGTGGCCCAGGCA